GACATGAAGCCTGAAATTTTGTGATTTTGGCCAATTTTGTTTCCAAATATATATACCAATGAGTTTGAAACGATTTTAAGAAATTAAAATACTAAAAATGGTAGATAAGAAAGTGATCGAGAATATAGACATAAGTAAATGAAAACACTTTTGGAAAATCTGATTTTTAGTTGTTGTAAACAATAAGGAACAGTGGAAATGTGGAATACACTGATACGTAACATAATAAAATTACGTGACAATTTATGTATTAATATAAAACATTGCTACGGGAGAGAAGCTTTTTTTTTTATTTTTTTAAATGGGAGAGAAAGCTGGTTATCAAAGTAACGCTGCATTATAAAATTTAGTAAAATAAAAATTACTATGTAGTATGTCCTGAGATAACGTATGATAACGTATGGTAAAATACTAAATTAAACAATTTGGGTATTGGGTCCATTAATTATCAGCACTGAACATATATAGATTTGATTTAGTTTGTAAAATGTCCTAAGTCTTCTGTTTTTTGGAAACGGAAATTAAGTCTTACAAATAAAATTCTGGATTTTGGTTTGTATTAATTGTTAGGACAACTAACACGAAAGAGATTTGTGATCACAAAAGGTGGAAATATCAAAGCTCATAGCATTTTGTTGCGTTCACTTTTTATGTCCTAAATAATTAATGAACAAAAGCACAAACTTGCATGCCGATCTTGTTTTGATTTTTATTGTCTTGTTTACGTATATACATAACGTACCAAATACAACAAGACAAGAAAGAAAATATGAAAATGAAATAGCAAGCGAATTAAAATATTTTCTTTATAAAAGGCAGACTCTGACGAATTCAATATATATATATATATATATATATATATATATATATATATATATATATATATTAATAACCCGTCTTGTAAAGGCAAATTTATAGCCATTAAAACGGATATGAGCAAGGCTTACGATAGGGTATAATGGATTTTCATCGAGAAGGTCTTAAGGAAGTTGGGTTTCTATGAAAAATGGATTAAATGGATAATGTGGTGTATTACAACGGTCCAATATAGAGTTCTCCTTAATGGACAACCTAGAGGACTAATAGTACCAGAGAGGGGTTTACGACAAAGAGACCCGCTCTCACCTTATTTATTCATCATTTGCACAGAAGTGCTCATTGCAAATATTCGGAAAGCTGAACGGGAAAAATTAATAACGGGTATCAAAGTGGCAAATGCAAGCCCTTCGGTTTCACATTTGTTATTTGCAGATGATAGTTTATTTTTTTGCAAGGCTAACAAAGACCAATGCGGGATAATTTTGGGGATTTTAAAGAAGTATGAAGAGGTCTCGGGACAGCAGATCAATTTTTTTAAATCCTCGATTAAGTTTGGACACAAGGTAGATAATGATATCAAGGAAGAAATCAAATCTACCTTAGGTATCACTAATATCGGTGGTATGGGTTCTTATCTCGGATTGCCGGAGAGTTTAGGGGGTTCTAAGACAAAAATTTTCTCTTTTGTCAGAGATAGACTACAAACAAGGATTAACGGATGGTCGACCAAATTTTTATCAAAAGAAGGAAAAGAAGTGATGATTAAATCGGTAGCTGCAGCACTACCAACTTATGTTATGTCGTGCTTCAGACTACCGAAAACAATCACTTCTAAACTTACTAGCGCGGTAGCAAATTTCTGGTGGAGCTCAAATGGTGACTCCAGAGGTATGCACTGGATGGCTTGGAACAAATTGTGCAATAGCAAATCGGACGGGGGGTTAGGATTTCGGAATGTGGACGATTTTAATTCAGCTTTACTAGCAAAACAATTATGGCGGTTGATTATGGTTCCAGATTCTCTATTCGCAAAAGTGTTTAAAGGACGATATTTTAGAAAATTCAATCCTTTGGAAAATATAAAATCATATTCTCCATCATATGGATGGCGGAGTATATGTTCAGCTAGATCTCTGGTTAATAAAGGACTTATTAAAAGAGTCGGATCTAGGACATCCATCTCAGTGTGGGAGGATCCCTGGATTCCAGCTCAATTCCCGAGACCAGCAAAAAGTAATGGTTCAGTTACTGACCCATCTTTAAAAGTCAAAGACCTTATAGATAGTCGGTCGAACTTTTGGAATATTGATCTCTTAAAAGCGATCTTTAATCCAGAAGATATCGCTCTAATAAGCGCCATACCTGTGGGTGCGCCAACAAAAGAAGATTCTTTGGGTTGGCATTTTACAAAATCCGGAAAATATACAGTCAAATCGGGATATCATTCTACACGGATGGAGAAGTCAGAGACCAATTTAAATTTTTTTGGCCCTAACATCAACCCGTTAAAAGCATATTCTTGGCAAGTGCAATGTCCACCTAAGATACGCCATTTCATATGGCAAATCTTAACGGGATGTGTACCGGTTTCGGAAAATCTGCGGAAAAGAGGAATTGATTGTGACACGGGGTGTGCCAGATGTGGCGCATCAGAGGAAACGATCAATCATACACTCTTTCAGTGCCACCCGGCATGACAGATTTGGGCACTTTCACAGATTCCTACGGCTATGGGGATTTTCCCCACGAAATCTAATTTTACGAATTTGGATCACTTATTTTGGAGAATACCTACGGAATTTGATTCATCAGCCTTCCCATGGATTATTTGGTATATTTGGAAAGCAAGGAACGAAAAGATCTTTGAAAACATAGATACAGACCCAACAGAAGTATTACGATTAGCGGAAAAAGAGGCACAATTGTGGCAGTCAGCTCAAATTGAGCTCCATAATGAAAATCATGGTTCTGTGGACTTGGTAAATCAAGATCGAGTGAGGGATATTTCACTTGAGGCGGAGTATTCGGGATACCGTTGCTTTGTGGATGGATCATAGAAAAAAAGTGATAGGTTCTCTGGTACAGGCTGGTTCTGTACATCGTCAAATGGAGAGCCGCCAACCATGGGAGCTGCGAACCTCCGTAGAAGTCTATCTCCACTACATGCCGAAGTCGAGACCCTTCTCTGGGCGATGAAGTGTATGATTGGTGCAGATAATCAAGAGGTAGCGTTCTTTACAGACTGTTCAGACCTGGTGAAGATGGTGTCTTCTCCAACCAAAAAGAGTAATTTTCATCTTTTTCTTTATCTTTAATTTCTCGTAGGGCTAATAGTAAGGCGGATAATCTGGAACGAAAAATACGCACAGAACCGTTTTATATCACCTATGTAAACAACATTCCTAATGAATAGCTTTTTTGAGCTTTAATTAATTGCGGATAACAAAAAAAAAATAATATATATATATATATATATATATATATTAATATATATGCATACCCCGCCCACCAAATAAAGCAATAAAAACGGTCGTTATAACAGGTAAATCACATGTATTATTTCATTGTTTTATCATTGTTGTCTCATGATATTGGATTGACGCTGTCTTTCTAAATGTGCACGCTTTAGTAAACCAAAACCCAATTTATTCCAAAAAAAAAAAACGAAAATAAGAAGAAGAAAATGTGTGTTATTAAAGAATGCTTTACTTAATAGTTAATACTGTATGATGAAGGTAGAAGAGTAAGACTCTGAGAAAAAAAAAAGATGTCGTATAAATCAAAGATCAAATCTTCTCATTTACGTATCTTTATTGTCATAAGACATCAGGAATGACGCCTGTGCATTGGTGAGACCAAATAACAAAACCACAAATTTAAAGTATAACACGTCCATTAAGTTGTATTCATAACATCGGATTTCTTTTTCCAACATTCGGGTATTCGGCGTAGAACTCCCCATGTTAGCTTAAGAAAAGAAGAAGATGTTTTATCATTTTCATTTACATCCAAATTAAAATACTAGATTTACGAGTTAAGAAAAAATTAAATTTGTTGAGTACGTATTTGAAAAATAAACAGTAAATGCTAATATAGGTTTGGTATATAACTATAACAAGTGGGCCTGCAATTGGGTCCAAAGCTACAGTGATTTTCTCCGTTTGCTTACCAGAATGGTAGCTGAAGTAGCGGCAGAGTAACATAATCTACAATTGGATTCAATATTCGCTTTAGCATTAGAGGCTAGAACATGTATATGGTCATCAACTAGAAACTGTGAAGAAATAAATAAGAAAAAGAAAAACTATTAAATGTATTTTGTAAAGAGGATAATGATGCATCGAAAAAGTTGTACGTCTGAATGAATGTTTGACATAATCCAAGTAAAGGTTCCAATATTGAGTGTAAATGGTTGAAGACTTCTTACTCCCATCAGAATTGTTTTACTTCCTTGAACAGAGACAATTCATCAGTTCTTACTTAAAACTTTTATTGCTTCTCTACATTATAATTGAGCTCTTTTTTTTGGGGCTTTTTGTTTTTTTTTTCCTTCTAATTTGCGTAGCTGCTTCATTCCTGATATTTTGCATCTTGTGAGAGAGTGAGAGAGAGAGGAGTCAAAAGCCAACAAAACAGTTTCTCTTAACTAGAGCTTGATGGAGTTAATATTCAATTAAAATTGGCCATATAGGTAAGATTTTGGGTGTGTGTATAAGATAGATAACCATGACTTTTTATTTGTAAAAAAAAGTAATAATTAATTGGGGTGGTTTTTCTATAAATAACATACTATTTTATCAAATAAAATGTTATTTAAGAAACTCAGCATTCTTTTGTGCTTTTTGCAAACAAAACAATGATATTTTCATAGTTACTTAGTGCAACTACCCTTAAGTTTAAAGCAAATGTATTTACTGTGGCTAAGTAATCGAAAACTTTGGTATCTCTATTCACTCAAAAAATGTTAACGTTTAAAGACAAATAATATAATTTGGAATTTCCCGTTTTGTATAGTTCGATGGTTTGATGTATAAACGGAAAGGATTATGCAAATAAACAAGTGAAAAGATTCTGCCGTTCCGACAGCTTTTAGATTCAAAAACGCACGCGAGAGTCACTTTTCTTCTTTGCCAACGAGAAGAAACTTTACTAAAAAGCCAAAAAATAATGAAACAATTTAAAATAAAATAAATAAATTCTTCAAAAAGACAAATACAAAAACATAATACAGAGAAAGAAAGAATAATCACTGTGATGAGTTTCAGTATCCTAAGAATCTCCCATTTTCCCATATCCCTAATTTGGTTAAATCAAAAATAAGAGAGAACCCACAAATTTTACAAATCAAACCCCCAAAGACTTTCAAAACTAACAACAATAAAAGCACCCACAAATGTTAAAAATACACACATCTTACAAGATGAAAAATTTAAACTAGGTAGGTACATCATCACACAAAGAACCCAATTAGTTCTTGTACACCTTTCACACGGTTTCTATGCTCTTGCTCAGCTCCTCCAGCTTAATCATCCTCAACTTCTCGCTTTCTCCAACCAACTGTTCCATCTCCCCAAAAAGAAAAAACAAACACCATTTATGTATAACAAGCGATGAAAAATACTCGGGTTTGTTCCCGTAGTTTCTACAAAATTAGGAACTTCGTAGAGAGTTCGGAACTAACCTCCATGAGTTTTGTGATCAGCTGAACTTTCTCCCGGTTCTTCTCATTGAATGTATCAAGTGCTTCTTTGTATTCCCTTTCCTGTTTCATTTCATTACGAAAACCGAATTTTGTTCAGCCTTTCAACAAACGCAAATAGGTCATTCGGCCTGGCAAACCCAATTGTTAAAGTCTGCCTTTAGGGATTCAATTGGCTACCATTAAGATCAAATCTTTGGTGTGTGTTTATATCAATCTAAAACGCTACTTATACACATAAATTTGTGTCAATGATGGATGATGCTAAACCAAAATGATGCAAGCAAATACTAAAAGATTGGTTTTTTTACCTTCTTTTGAACAGTGGAACCTAAAGGTTTGAGTTCTTTGTTAACACTATCAATCTTCTTACGAACCACAGAAACTTCCTTCCTCATAGGATCTGCCATAGACTCAAGCTCCTGTTACAAGAAACAACACAAATCTTTAGCTTTGAAGCACAACATAACTCCATCAAATCAAATCATAACAACAATTACAGTTGGCCAAATCCTATGATCTGCCATAGACTCAAGCTCCAATACAAGACACAACACAAAAATCACATATCTTTGCCCTTGGAAACACAACATAACTCCATCAAAAGAAACAGCTCATGTCCAAAGAAAAAGTATAAACATTTCCTCTCACTTATAGCCAAATCCTAGATCTCGAAAACGCTAATAAACAGAGAAACACCAACAAAGATCGAATCTCTACACATACAAAGACGTAAACTTTACAGGGTCTATACTAAAAGAAAACAGAGTAAAATTCAAACCTCACGAATAGTGGAGAGACGTTTGGTTTCTTGCTCGACCCGACCCAATTGAGCTTGGATCCGTTCACGAACTTCCATCCTCCTCTTCTCAATCTCATCTTCTTTAGCTCTAAACGCCGAAAGAGCAGAACGAGTCATCTCTTCGTCTTCCCTCGACATATGGCTACTAAAACTCAAACTTCCCGTATGCAACACCATCTCGTTGCTCTGCTGCTGCGGCTGCGGCTGCGGCTGAGGAGGAACAGCTTCTACCGTCGTAACAGCTCCGGCTCCAGCTCCGTCGTTGGTTTGACTCTGAGTCATCTTTGACTTCTTCTCCTTGAGGTTTTTGCTGCTCTTCTTCCTTAAACCAAAACAAGAACTTGAATCCTCAGTGGACTTACGGTGAGGTTCTTCGATTAACCCTATTTTTGCTGATTTGGGGGTTTAGAGAAGTTTGAAGCTTTTTTGTCCAAAGGAAGGTGTTTTAATGGCGGAGAGACGATTTGCTGTATTCTTAGTGGGTTTCGGTGGTATTTGGTAAAGCAAGCTCTGTTTTTATTTAAATCGTTTAATTACACCATTTTACCTAATCTTAATACTTAATCATTACTTAATTCGATTGTCTACTGTGTATTTGTATGTTTTTTGTACGGTCAAGTTTTGTATTTTATTAAATGGAAAATAATGCATCTTTAGGAAAGAAGAGTTTTGCCTGTAAAGGAAAAGCAAAAAATGTGCCAATGCATAAAATAAAGAATTTTGGCATTGGTGTATATAAATATGTAAATGTTACAGACTGTTTGATTTATTTATTAAAATTTAGTAAAGCAACGAAAATGATCTAACTGCCAAGTGACAACCATATCCAACCAATCATATGTGTAAGTGTAACCTTTATTGTTCTTTTATTTATTTTTAGCATGTAGTATATGATTTAATATATCAATGTAATCCATAAAGATCTACATATA